TTGTGTCTCGTGCCACATTCCTATTTAGCTCGACACCGACGTACTTACCAATCTTTCTCTTGCGTTGTATCGACTTGCCGTTTAGGTATCTCAGCAGGCAAAATTCTGTATGCGAACCAGGGTAGCCGAAACGCAGTCCTCGGCCTGCAATGCAGGTCAAGCAAGGGATTATAATGGCGTGCATGCGGCAAGGCGCAGGTCTAGGGTACGCACAGCATCTGAAGTTCGTGCATGCTACACATCTCAACAGAATTGTGTGGGCCATATGGATGGCTCGAACATCCCCGTACGTGTGCGATGCGCGGATGTACCTGGAACCATGGACTGCGCAAGTGTTTCCTGGTGCATTCCGATGGAAGGATTCCGTGTTCATACGATCGGCAGATCTCGAAATTGGATATTTTCGGACGGTCCATATCGCGTTACATGGTGTTGCAGGACAATGCAGTATCGGAGATACAGTCAAGCGATACCCCGTGGGTTTGTAGGATGTTATGTGTGCAGACCTATCGTCAAGGACTTTACGCAATTGTGCCGCACCCTCCCTAGAGATAGAAGGAAGTCTATTGCATGGCTGTTTAGTGTAGATATGAGATGTTGCACTCTGATTAATGATCCGCAAGACAGTATCGAGATGCCTAATCTTGATCAGTGCGATTTTAATGCTGGGATAGCATACATGTTTGCCAGTCCTTGTCTCATGGCCGAAAGCAGGATTGTCCTATCAGGTATGCTTATCGTCACAAGATAGTCGGCGCCACGAGCGGGTAACGCCTACACAGGTCTGCGGTCGGGTTTTCTGTCTGCGTGAAATTTGCGGTGGATCAGTTGACGCGAATGAGAGAGGGTGTGATCCGATAGACGTTCCTTGCACGTGCTGTGGTGAGCGTCCACTCTGGTGTACCGTGGCTTATGCACGACATCAGAGATCGACCGAGGTCCTGTTAGACGACCGCTCGCTTCACTTGGCAGTCTTGTATATTTTGACGTGATGGAAGTGTCCGTGGAAGCTATTGGTACTCGTCCCGTGGCAGCGAGTGGCTTGGTTGTCAACACATGCGCTTGGAGGGGTATGCCTTGTTGGAATGTCAGCAAAGATGACTGTAGATGCCAAAGACTAGAAACTCGAGGTCTTTGTTCTACCTTCCTTCCGAGGATCAGCTTATGCAGCTAAATAATTTTCACACCGTTCGTGAGGGGTCATGGCTATGCACAAGGACATAAGCTATCTGGGCGGATTTGGGACCAGGTGTCTGCAGCCGCATACAGTGCAGAATATGGATAAGGACATCGTTATAGCCCCCAATCCTGGTCGGATTATAGTGGCCTCCAATCTCCGGCAGTGCGGGATATGTTCCACGTAATATGACGCGTCCAACAGTGTCGCAGCTGGCAGCCTGCAAAAAATGTTCAGCGACATACCCGTGGGCGGATTTTTGCGCCGCACAACTGTGTCGCACGACCCCTTGGACTGTGTCGCCGTCCGAGCAGTATTACTGTGCAAAGTACGAGATACGTAGTGACGTGTGAGGGCCTGCATAGGTGGCTCGGCTAGAGGTGGTGTGAGTGTGTGGGGAACACCTGGTCGAGAGCGCTTCGGGACTGGCGATCAGCACGATTGATTAGCGCGTCCTTAGCGTCCTCCAGGGACTCGCATGACCCTGGCCCCCGCGCGGAAGGTCAAGCATCGTACGAGACTGTAGCCACACTTGATACACTGTTAAGTTTAGCATACACCCGTACGCTTGACTGAACGCGTCGTTGAGTGCAGGAGGGCTGTGGATCATATGTTGGCGAGTACGATAGGGCATTCATGTGCACAGGTGACTGATCGGCGCTAGTCTCTCGGTCGATCTCAAGCTGTTGTAGCTTCAGGCAAGCAACCACCACCACCACTTGACCCGCCGCGATCCGTTACCAGCCCACTTCTTTCGCCTTTGCTGTCTTACCATACTGCTTTGGTAGCACGCTTACGTCTTTCAATGGAGTGAGTCCCAAAGCACGCAAGACGCTCGCACTTGCGTGTGCCTTTTCAGGTCGGTTTCCTGGGTCGGTTGCGCCCCTCTCCGACCCAGAGGCAATGGCGGTTCCCCAAAACACTCCTTGCATGGCAATTCCACAACGCTATCATCATTCAGCTGAGTGCGGCAGGTATCGCCGATGAGAATTGTACACTAAGACCATAGGAACGGCTTGGCTGAACATACCGTTCAAGAGACACCGAGACAACGACGGTGCCCGTGAAAACCGATGGCCGAGTTGAAACAATGATTACATTATCCAAGGAAACACCAAGATCTCACTTCGGGTCACCCTCGTTTACGGTGCACATCGTGAGCTAGGCAAGAGCAAACCCGGTCTTTAGGAAAGTCATCTGGACGTCTTTTGTTGAGAGGGTGCAACCCCAGCAAGAAAAGCCTCAGGCGATTCAGAACTTCAAACTTTACTTGTGTAGTCAGCTGCGACATCTTCTGGCGAAGACATCCTACGCTTTGTCCCCGGACCCAAGCTCCGGGTGAGTGGAGCGCATCAGGGCCATCACCAGCCTTGTCCAGCACTTGATGAACCCTCGACAGTGTACCACGTAAGAAACACACCCAATCTTGGGTCAAATGGGTCAACCATAACTGAGGATAGCTTTGCCTTGAGGCTGGTGTAAGCCCACGCTCAAATCACGATCTCATGTCTACTTTTGCCAAAGAGTTCCTCAATTCACCTTACGTTATCAACACTGAACGTCGACCCTTCGATTGACACCTTTGTACTACCTTCAAGTTGACTAGAGAAAAGCTGTGCGACGGCTATAGGGTGCTAGTCAGCTTTCACAGGTCTTCGCCTGAACACTAGCGGAATGTATCTCGGATTTTGGCCGCTCCATCAGGCAGTCGAGCACCTTACCACGACTTTCACTGATTAGACCCATGACAGGTTTGTCTAACATGGAGCTACCATGACGCCTTGTACGTCGTGCTGATAGCGCCCCTCGTCGAACATTACGGATCTGTCATCGCTCCAGTAACACTGGAATGTGTTTCTCGGATGCATGAGATCTCGACAGCGAAAGTCCACCTGGTAGGTCTTGATAGTAGTTGAGGCTCAATGGCGCTGGACCCTGTTTCGTCTGTGGCGCAGGAGCGCTTAACATGAGGTACATTTGTGTATGGCTCTGGCTTTCGCGAGGAACCGGCAAGCGATCCGCAATATGTGGAGGATCCTCTCTGCCCGTGTCTCTGGTTAATGACGCAATAACCGAGACCATTCTGACAGCTGTCACCTGGCATCCGTGGGGTGTGATTTTCGTCTTGCGATGTGGCATGATGATCCACCAAGATCAATGCTCTTTTCCGCCTGTAGTACAACCATTACTGACATTGGGCATCATCATGCTAAACTCACATACAAGGTCAAGGATATAAGATACGCAGTCTACATCTGCTCATCTGAAAGCCGGATGTAGACGTTAACGGGACCGAAAGGGAGGGCTTCATGCAGGGAAGCGCCAGCAGCCATGACCCATCTTTCGTTCGATCGCTCGCATGCTGGACGCCCACCCACCTTCGTAAATTACATGCAGTATGCAGCAGCAAGCCGTTTACATGGTTGACAGTCAGGTAATTGGATGCGCGTATGGCTTCCCGCGGCCCGACGACTGGATCTGCATAAGCATGGTATAAACCCCGTCTCTGCAGCGTTCTACACGACGTTTGAGTTTGGAGGCATGCGTACCCGGACCTTGTACGTCTTCATCCGGTGCAGGTACCTTTCCAACATTCTGGTCCAGCGGGACAAAGACAATAATTACAGTCAACCTGAAGCAAGGTAGCAGGAAGTCCAGGCAATTCGCTACTGTATACGGCAATGTCTCCGACGAAAAAGCCATCGGTCGACGTACGACCAATACAGGCTACTAGTGTCTAGAGGGACGGAGCACGCCAACAATATGGACCGGCGAGGCACATGGCATTGTTGCTCTAGTAGCGACAGACCGTGGCGACCCGTCGCTGTTGCAGGTGCTCGGCTACAGAGAATGGGCAATCGAGTAAATTAAGTGAACAGCCCCGGAATTTTTCCCGTTGGTCAGCGGCAGCGACACAACAACGAGGGCTGTCGTAGCATGAGTGTGGATGAGTGGTAATAAGTAATTAGCCGTGCCGGAAGCATGTACGAACGGAAGATGGAGACGCCAGCCCTGCCGCCAAAGGGTAACGAAGCGCCTATCGTCGCTATTGCGCCACGCTTGGTAAGGTCCGCTTGCAGCGGCTAGTGCATGGGACTCTAAGACGAGAGAGTGGGCAATTCAGGCCTAGAGCCATTGATCTCAGATGGTCTGGCGCCAAGCGGGGTCACATATTGACCAGGACCCATCGATCATCAGCCGCATCGTTCATAGCCCGCGCGTCGGCTCCGTATCAACGAGCTGGCGGCGTCAGGAGGACCAGTGGGCGATGGCAAAGGCATGTCAAGATTCGCCGTAGTGGATGGCGCGATGAGGTGAGAGTAGTGGGGAGGCGTGTTGTCTCGTGCCCCAACGGCACCAGCACCGGAGCGACCGCGGGGCGGTTACAATGAGGGCCCTTGTCAGCAATGCACCACGATGCAGTCGATCCCTGAAAGCGCTGCAGCTAGGGTGGCTAGGAATATGCGAGCGATTCAACGGCTGGCGGGATCCAAGCATGACGCTCGAGCTCAGTGGGCGCATTCGCTATTCCCGACTCGTACACACCCTGGTCACTACTGGAATTTCGCAACTACCTCATGCTCCAGCCATGTTCACACTACCCCAAAGTCTGCTAAGGGAATCTCATGCAGCTTAAACAGCGCCGGGAGCGAAACATGTCCTCGCCGCCCTAGCCCGCTCGCAAGCATCTGTTTAAATACCTGTCACTTCCGCTGCTTCCCCGATGCAAGCGGCTTTTCACTCCCACCATTCGATGTGATCTTCGTTTACCGTCCACCGTCGTAGTTCACGTTCCGCACTACCACACTCGTTGGCCGTCACCATGTTCTCTTTCCCATTAGCCTTGTTCCCCAATTGGAGTTGGTTTTGTATCTTTTTGGCTCTCTTGTAAGTCTACCATGGCTGCCACTGCCAGCCTTCCCCGCACTTTGGACGACACTGACTCGGTACCACAGTTTGTTTCGATATGTCAGATTATGGGTGAACCTGGCGAGCAACTGGACGTACACACCCATGAAGCCTGTCGACGACCCTACCATCACATCAAAGGACATGACTGTCATCATCCCAACAGTTGCTGAAAACCTGCAACAACTAAAAGAGACGGTTCAAAGCGCATACCGTCTCGAGCCATTAAGCCTCCTCCTCGTCACACCTGACTCGCGAGTAAAGCGCGTGTACCAGATGGTAGAAGAGCTGGGCAGCCCCAAGATCATTCAAGTTCTATCCGTCAGCCAGGCCAACAAGCGTCGACAGCTATGCCGAGCCATTCCCGAGGTCGAGACCAAGATCACGCTTCTACTTGACGACGATGTATGGTTACCGGAGAAGTTTACCAAATGGATTCTTGCTCCTTTCGAAGACCCATCTGTCGGAGGTGTTGGAACTAACCAGCAAATCCGCCGCTTCAACCGCTCCAGCATCTGGGAGTTCCTGGGTGCCATCTATCTGGTGAGGAGGAACTTTGACTGCACTGCCTGCAACTGGATCGACGGTGGCCTACCATGCTTATCTGGACGCGCCGTTGCCTATCGATCCGAGATCCTACAAGACCCCAATTTTACCTACGGCTTCACGCACGAGACATGGGGCAGCGATCACTTCCTCAACGCCGACGACGACAACTTCATCACGCGATGGTTGTTCTCCCACAACTGGAAGATCCAGATGCAAAACCACCGCGAATGCGAAGTCGAGACGACCCTCGAGGACGATTCGAAATATCTTCGTCAATGTCTGCGATGGGTCCGCTCCAACTGGAGGAGCAATCTGACTAGCCTGACGGAGGGTTACATGTGGATGGTGAGTGCCGCTAGTTTCCAATATTTGCACAGATTTCGCGTTGTTGGACGCCCGCCAAGCCAGCCCCTCTTTTGACTTCGCCGATTCGCGCTACCTTTGCTAATCCTTGCGCAATAGAACTACCCATGGTCCCTCTACGCCGTCTTCCAAACCACGCTTACGCAATGGGCCTTCCTCCTCGATTGCGCCCTCTTCGTCTCGGTCTACCTCGCGCTGGCGGAGGCAGGATACTACGCAGCAGAGGACGACAAGCAAGCCCATGAGCAGGACTGGCAGCGCAACCTTTTCTGGGCGCTGTTCCTCGCGCATTGGGTCTTCGCGAAGACGATCAAGCTAATTCCCCATTTGTTAAGAAACCCGGGCGACGTCCGCTTCGTCCCGGTCTCGATTCTTTTCGGCTATTTCCACAACCTGATCAAGCTCTACGGCTGCATCACCGTGACAGAGGTATGTCATGAATCATTCATCGCGCTCATTTCAACCTTGCTGACGGCTTGCTATCAGACCACTTGGGGTACTCGCGAGGGTGCAGATGCCGACGACAACATCAGGATGTTGCCCATCCCGCCGATGGCGACAATTACCCCTCCCCTGACGCCTCCACCAGGCGGACGCGTGCTTCGCGAGCGAGGCGCCGGTTTTCCGATGATGAATTAGACGACGATTTTTCCCTTTCTGGCCGGCATTCCAGGCCCCGGCCGCGCGTTTTTTGGATGCATTAATGTTAGACGCATGTCAGTTTGAAGCATAGCATCTACCAGTACACGCATGGTAGAGCCGCGCTGTGTTGTTTCCTACTATTGAGCGTGGCAGCTCTCGGATACCAAAATGGGCCCGGTTGGATGCAAGGTGTTCAAGGAGTTTACGGCCATGGTCGAATTTGCAGCGTCTTTCCACGCGCCGTGTTGGTGAATACCCAACCATGTAGTCTACGCAAAAGTCACAACAAATGACAATGATGATGACCGTTATTACAGTCGCTCTGTTTGGTGCCTTCCTCCACTCTCAACGTCGCAGCTCGCTCCTGCCGTCCCCCGAGGCGCGTAGTCAGCCGCGACTGCTCTGGCTCCACGTCTCACAATTGTGCAACCGCGGCACAAAAACTCTATCCCAACATCACAGCTGTTTCCCGAGCAACACACGACCCCCTGGTCAGCCGTCTTAGGCGTCCTACCCGCGCTGCACGGCCTACAAGTAGCGCGAACCATCACCCGCATCGAGGACATCGCCTGCTTCATCGTTTACGGCAAAGATGTGGGAGTCTGGGCCGCCTCGAGACAAATAGCGGCACGTTATCTGAGACGGGCGCACTACGAAGAGGATAGGTAGGCAATACTTCCGAACGAACCACTCAAAGGCGGCAGGTGCGAAGGGCAGGTACCTAGGTACCCCTCGGTTTACGGGATAAGGGAATTGAAGAACCCACTCCCCAAGTCTCGGAACTACCTCGTATCTCCGCTTTCGGCCATGGCCCGCAGCATCGTTTAATCTGTGGCTTTGCGCAATGTCACTCTCGCTGCTGGCCTTCTCCCACGCCAAACCCGCCCTTCGTCCACTGCTGCAGAGTATTTCGTCCAGCATCGGCTGCAGCAAGCCCTAGGGGTCAGCGTTGTTCTGGCACTTTCGACTCCCCTATCGCGATCCGATGGCGCTGAAAAGTCGATGGCGTCCACAGGTCTTCCCACCAACGAAGCTGCCCACTCAAGCGGGCCTGCATGCTGCACGTCCTAGCTGAAGCTTCAAGGAAACCATGCCGGCGCCGAACTTCTCATGCACACTTGCATCGCTGGCCCTCATCAAACATCATCGTGCGTTGCGGCAATTTTCTTCCCTACCCACGACACAAATTCTGCGTCTTGTCAACAGGGACGATGACGGATGACAGATGCATGAGCCCTGGTCTTCTAGCGAGCCAGCAAATCGCACGGAAGAGACCCTTTGTCCAAACCTTATGCTGGTCATCCCGCTCCCGCAGGCCTGTGTGTCCAGAGCCAAGCTCCCACGCGCTAGACTGGCGCTGTCTGCGGCGCGACGCCTGACCCATTTCTCCACCTCTCGTCATAGCTGCCTGTCACTGCGTACGTAGCATTCGCAGCAGATGGGCCACCAGGCATCGAACAGCACACATGTACATTGATACTCTGTAGCCAAGCTGTCGCAAGCATCTGTGCCGCATCCCCGATGCAACACGCTGCAGACAGCTTTAGGCACGGACTTGCAGTTCGACCCTCGCGTGCCGTGTCCCAGAGCATTTACCAATACCGGACGGAACATTGTCATTGGTGCCTGGCTTGTCAAAAGTACTACAACTGCACAGGTGCAGACTGGGCGAGCGCCACGCACTAGCCAAAATGGCAATGAACATCTCCAATCGAGATGACAATGACTGCTCAATATACACGCTTGCAAGATGGCACAACCTATCTGCTCCCCACGTAACACGACATGGGCCGGGATGCCTGATGATGGCAGCGCAATCAGTCTGCACCTCCGGACAATTGACATTCGCTTGATCCTGCTTGTCAGCAGCCGAAACGTTGTCCAAACAGCTGGGTCGAAGGCGAAAACTCTGCACATCTCGCTTCACGCGCGAGACACGCTGTCGGGACGCACGTTATCACACAAAAATCTTTACATCACCTCTCGTCCATCCAGTTATCTCACTTGAGGGAACTTATGCGCGAAGGTCCAAATTACTCGTACATCTTGAAGCAAGGGGCCAAGGGCTGTCATGCAATGCGTACAAATACCCACTTCATCCTCACCAGGATACGCTGCGCTAAGGCCATGCTGGCTATTACCGCGACAGCAAAGACTGTGTATTTGCGGAGTCCTTGTCGGCATCGTTAGCTTCTACAGATGCTGGCCCTCTGACGACATCAGACGTCTAGCCTAAGTTCCAAAAGGCCCAGATCTACTCCATAAGTTGTTTGAGGCTACTTATCATGCAAGTTTTGGATCTGGTCATGATCGTGTCATGATTGTCTGACACAATGCTGGAGCCTCCTCCGAGCGCGTGTTTGAATCGATCGCGGCTCCATACCGGCAGCAATATTCCAAGTTCGGCACGGGTACGCAAACTTGTTTAACCAAACCAGTACATAATATGTACATAATCAGCAATGTCCAACAATACCGAAGCATAGCCGTGCTTGTTCGGAAACTCCAGTTGCGAAACTTTGGAAACGTCTTCTCTCCGTCTGTATGGGCCTTGAACTGGCGCGCCCGAGGTAGCGTCGCGCCGTGCCGGTCGTGAACCGAGATCCAGCGGCAAGCAAGCACGAGCTGCAAATCATTTCGAGTCAGGTACCTCTAACGTTTGCGGTACAGTTATCGCCGGATTCTGCTCGTCGCGGCATATCTTCGGATATGTATGGTGGAAAAGCTTTCATCTTCGGAGTACAGGTCACGTGCTCAAGGTCGATCTGGCCAGTCTGCCCCGAAACGGCTTATATCCAGGAACGCTGCAACGTCGTAATGTGGGGAAGATACCATATATGACATCGTCATCGTCTCAACCTACTGCTTCCAACTCCACCAGCTTGCGCGTCGTTTAATACCGCAGATATAGGTGGCCTTTTGGGAACCCTTACTAGCCATTCTTAGGCTCGGTGCGACTTTGGTATAGTAGATCCGATCAAGCCTCGTCCGTTGTCCGCTACGGGGCCCGGCGCTTTTCTTTTTCCATGGTTCGTCGATCTTAGATGACGACGTCGCACGACATACTCACATGACTGAACTGTCATTCCGCATAGCAACCTTGGTACTCCATCTACGAAGCAAGACCCTGCAGCTGCACGTCAAACATCGCGCAACCAAGATTAGCATCGTCTCACAGCCGCATTCCCATATCATCAGCCACAAGAACACACGATCTATAGTCCGCTCACTAACCATCGGTCTCTTGAACCGAGCGAGCCGCAACCCATACCTCTACTCCACGGCTGTAAACGCGCTAAAATGACGTGCATCCTGACTGAGCCGTGGCTGACTCGGCGTCAAAAGACATCAAGGGTCTTGCCTGTCTTCTCCACAATCACGGCTACTTTCGCTGCATCCAGACTTTTCACCCCACCCTCTTCTTGCTTTCACCATCAGAACAGCCGGACGGCCTCTCGATCCTTGATTGTGATTTAGGCGTTCGGCGCCGCACGAGTCAGCTTTCAACACCTCACGTCATACATCGCGGGATGAGGCCGCCAGACATTCCCATAGTATCTGCAAAGAGCTACTTCGGTCTTAGGTCCACTCGCTGATAGATTCTGGCGGATGATGGGCAAACGGGTGTGGGTACAATAACAACTAGTGCTCAGCAAAGTGTGCCATAGTGTACTATATTGGTAAGCGCTGAGGTGATACTGGAGACCAACAGGCGAAGGTCCATTTGCGGACCCTCTGTTTTGCAATACAGAGAGGGTCCTGCTGACAGTGGTGGAGTTGACTAAACGCTGAGATCAATAGGATCGGAGACGCTCAGCCACCACAGATTTTGACAGCTTCGGCCATACATCTAATTCGCGCATGCTGCGCGCTGCCGATACAAGAATTTCGGCAGATGCAGTAAGCAGGATCCCCAGTCACATGTCACGCTCCACGGAAACAAAGGGACCTTCGCAGAGCCTCACGTATGCACGACTTCTGAAAATTGTTTGTTGAGCTGCGCGCCTGGCAGCGTCGGTGCTTCTCCGGCCCTCTTTGCTCCGCTTACCCCTCCCTCGCTTCCGAACACTCCCACGGGAATTACTGTACCGTGAGAGGCAATCAAGGGCAATAGCACCAGGATCGATGGGCACCCGCTCTCGCTTTCCAAGCGAAAGTATATTCTTACCCTCTTGCCTATGGCTACCCCACAATTGCCGTCGGCTTCATAGGCATTGAGTTTGACACTTGTCCTTGTGGCTGGGAAGCGCGGGACGACTAAGCGCCTATCACTGCACGATCGAGACGAGCTGCCTTTTGAGACCACGTCAAAGTCGGCATCGTGCGTGCAGGGGACGCCTAATTGCTGTACGTTTCCTCCGTGGAGCGCGTTTGGTGAGATGTACGAAGTATGTGGGTTCTACTTTGTATGTGGTATGTACTGCGCTGGTTGTGATGCCAAGATACACACCTTGCATGTGTCTAGAACCAACGGTCGTGCACTCCGGTATATCGTCTGCAGGATACGAAGCATGTGTTTCGGGATCAAGTTGCCGAGGCCAGAGGCTGGGAATCGTCGATACGTTGTGCGTTGCCTTGATTATCACCGGCCATATCGTGATGAAGGGCGGCCAAGCCGGACGGCCTTTCCTGTCCATTTGACTTTGCTCTATGTTTATCAAACTTCGAGTTAATGTTATCTTCGATAAATCTTAGTTGGTGTAGTTCAGAAGCATGTTGCACATCAATACTGCGGGTTCATCACTAGTCTTGCTATTGGGCCATCGTATACGCCAAGTTCTCTATTAGGAAGACCAATCGTCTTCAGACACGAGAACGTCCAAATCAGAACAACATGAATCAGAACAACATGAATCAGAACAACATGAATCAGAATCAACCGTGATCTGCGTGAAGAAGTAACATTCGTGTACAGCAATCTATCAATGGATATTCCTCGGAGCCACTTACCCCGCCAACCGAAGGTATCTCCCCGCATCACAACACCACAGTACTCAGTATAGCATATCAACCAACAACATCCAATATTCAATTCTAGGCCTCAGCCAAAAGAAGAAAAAAATACCCCTTCGGATTCGCCCATCTAGAATCCTATCCAGACGGCACCAGCCTCACTACGCCCCACGGCCCGACCAACCCGACCAATCCAACAATGCCATCCCAAGACATACCCATCCTAGACACACACATCCACCTCTGGCCCTCAACCGCGACATCCCCTTCGAACCACGGTTGGATGACCCCCGGCCACCACCTCTCCAAACGGCACGGCATCTCAGACTATCTTTCCATTACATCACCCCAGCCCGCGGGATTCATCTACGTAGAAACTGATCGGTATCTGCCCTCCGCGGAGCCAAGTATTCAGGACTCTGATAGCGATGAGGATGTCAAGAGCAAGTTGAGGGAGTGGGCGAAAGAGCCGTTGGAGGAGGTTAGGTTTCTGAGGAGGATTGTGGAGGGGATGCCGGAGGGGGGTGATGGGTTTACGGGGGAGGAAAGTGGGAAGATGAGGGGGGCTGTTGTGTATGCGCCTTTTCATCTTCCGACTAGGGTGTTTAGTGTTTATCTAGAGCTTGTTAAAGAGGTGGCTGGGCCGCAGCTCTGGAAATGTATCAAAGGATGGAGGTATCTGTTGCAAGGGAAAGGGGAGGGTGTTGTTGAGCAGATGCTTCGAGAGAATGAGGAGAGTTGGGTCAGCAATTTGGTTGGGTTGAAGGGGTTGGGAGATGAATGCCAGGCATGGTGTTTTGATGTAGGTGTCGATACTAATAGAGATGGGACAGGGCCTATGGAGGCGGTTGGAGGGTTGATCAAGGCTGTTAGAGCGAGAGAGGAGAAGGAGGGAGGTGGAGATGGGAAGAAGGTGAAGTTCGTCCTGAGTACGTATACATCTCCCCCCTTTCCTACACACCCAAGCCATAAAACCGCAATGCGCTGTGACTTCTTTCACAAACATAACAAGATAACACCAGACTAACACACCTCCCAGACCACCTCGCCAAACCCCCCCTCTCACCCACATCCCCCAGCCCATCCCCCATCTGGCTGCAAACCATGTCATCCCTCTCATCCGACACAAACGTCTACATGAAGTTCTCCGGCGCTTTCAACGAATTCACCTCGTCACCCACTCCCGCCGACATCCCCAGTATCCTAACTGCCTTATCCCCTTTCCTGGACCACGTGTTCAAGTGCTTCCCAGGCAGAGTCATGTTCGGGAGTGACTGGCCGGTGTGTAATGTGGGTGGGCCTGCGGGGGAGGAAGGGAGCTGGAAGCTGTGGAGGAGCGTTGTGGAAAGTTGGATGGAGGGGAAGGGGTTGGGAGAGGAGGAGAAGGAGAGGGTTTGGAGAGGGGCGGGGGAGGAGGCTTATGGGGTGAGTTTGTGAGGGGGTAGATCTGAGTAGTTCTCAAGGTGAAGAGTCGATGCATGGAGGCTTGGTATGGGGGTTGTGAAGTAAACCGGTACTGTCATAATTGACTTTTGATATGTGGCTTAGCAAACAGGAAAAGTGTGAAGGATATAGTATTTGAACGAGCACATGAACCCTGCGCTGTTGATCTCGATCTATTGGAAATGAGATAGCAGGACTTCACCACCTCTAAGACCCTACGCAAACCCGCCTCCCCCCTCCCCACCCATCCCCAACAACACAACGAACGTCGCCTTCCCCTGCCCCTGCCCCCCATCCTCCCCTCCCGCCCTTCTAACAAGCCCCAAATACGCACCCAACTCCTCATCATCCGTAACCTCAACCACAACCTCACTCTCCGCCCTCCCCCCTCTATGTACAACCAACCCCTGCATTTTATGCACAACAGTACCCGGGTGTTCGCGCATCGCCAAGTCGCGGAGTGCGTTGAGGGAGGGAGTTTGCAGGATGGAGAGCCAGACGGAGCGCGTGGGGTAGGGGGTTGAGGAGTGGGCGTGGAGGCGGAAGTAGACCGGGAGGGGCGTGGGGATGGGAGGAGTGGCGGGGTAGTAGGGTTGTTGGTAGTGGTGGTTGTGGTTGTGGTTGTGGTTGTGCTGGTGGTTGTGCTGGGATGCTGGTTGGTAGTGGGAGGATTGGTAGTGGTGTTGAGGTTGATAGGAGGGGATGGGGAGGACTGCGGCGTCGCTGGCGGCTAGGAGGAGAGATGGGTCGATTTGGAGATCTGAAGCTGTGGATAAGGAGGGCGTGGCGGTGTATGGAGTCTGTGTTATAGCCTTTCGACTAGCACTACTGTGTTGTCTCCCCTTATTTCCCATGCTCGTCGGATGCGTAGCGACGACCGGCGGTGCAGGCCCTGGTCCCGGGCCCTGATGAACCTGTTTTTTCTTGCTGGGGTCTCTGGAGGTCTTTTCCTGCTGTTGCCGCTTCATCACGTCTCGGGCCAGGACTTCCAGAGCTCGCAACTTCCTTGCGTATTCTGGATCGTCTTCCCCTTGTGCGAGCGCCTTCACCAGGAACTCGGACTCGTTGACCCACGCTTGCTTCAACCCTGTCCAGCGTTCCTCACCAGCTTCGTGCTTGTTTGAGAAATGAGCTGCTTTCAGCTTGTCGGCAAAGGCGCTTCGGACGTGTCGCGTCTGCTCGGGGTTGAGACCAAGGAGGTTCTTTGCGTCGGCGAGGGTCATGCGTGAATCCATCGTTCGTAAGCGCTTTGTAACGTCCAGACAGATAACGTCGAGTGACAGCGCTCTCTGACCTTTCGGACGGAAGAGCGCGTCGACGTTCTGTAGCACCTCTGGCTCTTGTTGGAAGACTTGGGTCAAGTGCGCGTCATCTCGAATGAGTTGTTGTACAATCTGCGCCCACTTCTCCGGACCGGCAATGGTCTTCTTTGTAACTTCCTGCTCCTTGCAGATCTGGAGAAAGCTCTCTCGAACCTGCCGGTACATATCGTTGTCGAGACCGAGGTATGCTTTGGCTTCGTCGATGGTGGTTTCGGACGGGAATCGTGGAGGTTCGCCGGGTGCTGCAAAGGTAGAGGTACGAAGTCAGTATATGTCTCACATGCACTTCGTACAGTCAAAACTTACCGTCTGCTGGCAATCCGGCCCAACCGCGTGTTCGACGTCTTCGCTTGCGTGTCCGCCATTTCTCGTCGCTCTCGGTCTGAAGCTGCTGCTGGCGCAGTTGCTTGCGTAGCACTTCCTCCTCGCTCAAGCCTGTGATGTCGGGTTCGGGGAGTATAGGCCGCGCTTCTTCCACAGATGCCCCACCCTCATCTCCTTCTTCCTGAGCAGTCGCGGGCTCTTCTTCGCTTCCATCGTCGCTCGTAGATTCCTCCGCCAATATCGCGTTACCAAGCTGGTTGATCAGACCTCTCCCAGGCACAACCTTGGTAGGCTTCTTCTTCGGCTTCTTTTGTATCCTCCCTCCATCAGCCTTTGTCTTGTTCGATCTGGAAACGCTCTCTCGAAGCAAGAGCTTGAGCCTTAGGCGCAAGCGCAGCAGTTCGCGGTCGTTGATCTGGAAGCCCTCAGCCTGTAGCGTGTCCACCATGTCCTTCTGCGTATAGTTCTGTTCCCATAGTTGCTGGAGTCGCGCGACGAGGGCCGTGTTCTTGTGCGCTGGATTCTGCTTCGAGGGGAACTCCCATCGCTATGACGTTATCAGTCGAGGATTCGGAGTGGAGGCTGGAAGTCGTGCGATAGCGACGCACCTTGAATTGGGTCTGGAAGGCACGCTTGCTAAAGTAACAGGGTCAGCGTTAAGTGTCCTAGATATCTTCGCCAAACACTAGATTGCGAAATGACGGTGAGCGAGTACGGCGACCCATATGTACTCTCCCGCGCAGCGCTCGCATACCTTGGGGTGAACCCTCGTATCTCAAAGTACGACATGACCTCCTCGAGACTCCTGCGCTCCTCGACATAGAGTTGATAGCATAGCGCCTCTTTGTCGTCCCAAGAATACACCATCCTTGATCTCGTATCGCAGTATCTGGTGGAAGCTTGCGTGAACTGCGCAACTGGTTTGACTGGCGAACGCGACGCAATCGCCAAGACTTTCGGCCTCGGCTGCTAATGTCCCGAACACGTGGACCGAACACGGCTCACTCATACATCGCACCTACCGAACCAGATTGCGCATAGCGGCATGTATATCATGGCTTCCTGGGTAGACGGTGCTATCGGACAAATTATTCCTTGCCGTCTTGAACGAGACTCAACACCTCCAGACAGACCACCCTGAGCCCCTCATATACCGCGATAGTCCATCTATCATACCCCACACTCTATACCTACGAGCACCATGTCGCACGCCCGCAAGAACAGTCTATGGACGCCCACCACACCGACAGCGGCGCAAACCCCTCAGCTGCTGTCTGGCAAGTCCATGATGATTACCGGCGGTGTCACTGGCATCGGCCGCGCCATCGTCCTAGGATATCTCCAACACGGCGCAAACGTCGCCGTGAACCACTTCGGCGACGACAAGTCCACCTCCCAGTACCAAACTCTCGTCGAGGAAGCAGCCTCGAACCTACAAACCAGCAAAGAAGAAGTCGAGAAGAGACTAGTAGAAGTACCCGGCGACGTAGGAAACCCCGAGACAGGAAAGAAGTTGGTAGATGCCGTAGTACAACGATGGGGACGATTGGACGTTGTGATAAGCAACGCTGGTATCTGCGAGTTCAAGGAGTTCTTAGAGTACGTCTTCCCCTTGACCACAACTCTGTCCAAGTGCAAAACTAACACCCGTCTGCAAGAATAACACCCGACCTCTGGAACAACACCCTCACCACCAACCTCACCGGCGCATTCCACACCATCCAAGCCGGCGCAAAGCAAATGTCCACCCAGTCCCCTCCAGGCGGCTCTATAATCGGCATATCCTCCATCAGCGCCCTCGTCGGCGGCGCATACCAGGGCCACTACACGCCCACAAAGGCTGGTGTACTGTCACTCATCCAGTCCTCCGCGTGCGCACTCGGAACACATGGTATACGGTGCAATGCGCTGCTACCAGGTACAATCAAGACGCAGCTCAACGAGAAGGATCTCGAAGACGAGGAGAAGAGGAAGTACATGGAAGGCAGGATACCGCTTGGAAGAACGGGTGTGCCGAGTGACCTTGCTGGTCCAGCGATCTTCCTCGGCAGTGATTTGAGTAGCTATGTGAACGGCGCGCAGCTGTTGGTTGACGGGGGCTTGTTCGTAAACCTCCAATAAAGATAAACAGTCTCGTCAAACGCAAATGTAAACAAAGGACATCATATTATTCGTCTTTCACCACGTCAACTCCACCTCTATCCGCCTTATCCCCGCAACCGCATGTAGCACATCCCCCCTAATCCTCTCCGCAGCCTCCCTCTCCACCCCCTCCATAAACCGCCTAACCCCCTCATTCCCTTCCCCCACTAACACACCCGAGCTAAGCACATCCCTCGCCGCCTTCAACCCCACCCTATCCCTCCTCGTCTCCTCCCTCAACACCCAATACGTCTCCGGCGCCATCCCATGTAGCTGTGCACCCCGTACATCCATCCCACCTATCCTATCCACTAATACCACATCCATGATCTCAGGTAACGGCATTGGTAGAGAGGTTTCCTGGGGGATAGGGTGGTAGGTGCAGGGGTTGCGGCCGCAGGGGATGCAGGCACGGCAGAGGGGGCAGGTGTATGCTAAGTGGCATTTTTGGAGCCAGGACACGAGGCAGGGGGTGCAGAAGATGTGCGTGCAAGGTAGCTGTTTGGGGATGTGGATTTGGGTGTCGTAGGGGGATGTGCAGATTGGACAGGTGGAGGAGGTGGGGGAGGAGGGAATAGACGCTTTTTCGAGGCGGCTTAAGGCGCATGTGAAGAAGTGTAAGGCGTCTGGATCTTGCACTAGATTCGCTGGCGTGTATGCTGTTTCGCGCCATTCTTGGCCTGCTGTGATGGCGCTCGCTAAGACATCGACGACGCTCATGGCTGGCTCGGACTCCTCGCGTGCCTGGAGTTCCACAATGTGTAAATACCGATACTGTGCCTCTGTCTGGCGCTGAGGATGTTTCAGCGTTCCGTCTTTCACCCACTTTCTGAACGTCTCTTGCTCGTAGAAAGAAGGAAAGTTCGAGTATAGTTCTTGCAGTGTATCATTCTGTGTCAGCTGAACAACTGCGGAGTTGTTGGCTTCTAGAGACTGGATGAGGGAGGTGGTGAAGGTTTGGAATGTGTGCATGGAGTGGATGTATGGGTCTGACAGGGGGGTAAGGGGTGTGATGAAGGACTTGTGGTGGCGAAGGTCGAAGAGGATGGTTTCGATGGAGGGCATTCTTTCGATGTTAAGGGGTCTGGGTTTTGGGATTGGGGTTGAAGGAGGGGCTAGTATACCAAACATTAGAAGGAGGATGTGAAGTTTCGACAGTTGGGTTCGTGACATGTGGAAGGGAAGGAAAAGTTGGACAGATCAATCTGTGGCGACAATGTGCATGTTACGCTGTGAAGTGAAATGGAATGTTGGTTACGAGCTCCTGAGCCATCGGAATTGCACTGTGACCGAGTTAGTGTCTTTGAGATGTAACATCTTGGTATGGTGCGGATCAGTGAAGGTGAATGCATTGAGACTCCATACGTGTGATAGTCCCCGATACCTGATACCTGATAAATCTACCCGTTCCTCCTGAAACTACACCCATCACGCCAACTCCATCGCTATGATACCCATATCAACACCTACAAGCCATAGATGCGAATGTACGAAAACCTTGAACACCCTAGTATGCGAATATATACCGTATCCTCAAACGCCATGAACGATAGCGTTAAGAACGGATACCTTGATCAAGAAACCTGTCAAATGTTAGAACCTGTCCGGTTCATTCTTCAAACCGAATCCTGTTCAAGAGGGAGTGCCTGCTCTGCGCGAGCATCAAGGGGGGTTGGAGTGCAGTTACCTCAGCAATGTTCTGGCGCTCGATATAGCTCTCCTGCTTCACATCTCTACCGACGCGCCAGTAAGAGTCCGTGTAGTCCGCGCAGTTCATCTCGCGGAGGAACTGCTCGTCGTGGGTGATGACCAGCAGCTGGAAGTTGGCTTGCTTCCTGCGGCTCTGGATGATCTGAGACAAGGACTCGGCGAGACCCTTGATGTTCTGCTGGTCTAGGTTGGTAGTGGGTTCGTCGAGCGCGATGAGACCGCAGTTTGTGCCGAAACATTCTGCGAGCGCGAGACGGATGACGATTGAAGCGAGGACTTTTTGGCCTGCGGAACAGCGGCCTCGCATGTCCATCTCGGTGTCTTGCTTTACCATCACGACACGGTAGTTGTATGTCCGATTACCTTTGCCATCGCCATCGGATACGATGCGAATAGCATCCACATCAGTACCTTGATACGCGTTGCGCCACAGCTCAGCGAGAATGGTGTTGATCTCCTCCATCTTGAGCGTGTGATACTTCATGATTGCTTTGTCCAGAGCGCCTGCATAGCGCCCCAGGTCATCGATGGCGGCTTTGGTGGTTTCAACCTTGATATGCGCCTCCCGGTATTGCTCCGCAGCCTTCTTGTAGATTTTCTCATACTCTGTCATGAGATCCGTAAGCTGGTCATCCTTGTTCTTCATGTCGCGCTCCAGAGTTGCCTTCCTGAGGTTGAGATCTCGTACTCGAAGATCCCAGTGTTCGGCTTGCTGCTCGTAGTGTGCCTTGTCGCGCTCAGCACCGAGCTCTTCTAGCTTTCGGATCTCGACTTCTAGGCTGTCGAGGGAGCGTTTGGCTTTCCGATAGCGCAAGTTTTCACTGATGGAGCGCTTGTTCGTTTCCGTGTCGCGCACCGTGTCTTCAAGCTTTTTGATCTTACGAGTCAAATCGGACATGTCGGTCTCGATACGTGCGACCTCGCCTTGGAGGTTCTCAATCTCTCGATGGGTGCGTGCGAGCTGCTGTGGTCCACCACGACTAATATAAGCATCGATTTCCTCGTTCGCCTGGTTGAGTTGGCGCACAGTGTCGGATAGCCTAGCAGCTTCATCGTGAGCGCGTTGAACGCGATCGTTGCCACGGCGGTTGATGTCGTCGTACTTGTACTGCGCTTGCTCGATTTCGGGGTCGATGTTACTGATGTCCTGGTCGAAGCTGCGTAGGGCTTCACGTTGCTTGTTATTCTCCTGCTTGAGGTCTTCTACTCGATCGGCGAGATCCCGCTTCTCCTTCAGCTTTGACTGTGCGCTGCTCAGGTCCGCGTTGATGTCACGTACGCTCAGCTCAAGAGTTGTGATCTGGTTGCGTGACTTGTCCCTGGCAGCCGTAAGCTGCTCGAGCATTGTCCTAGCGTTGCGGCTATCATCAGACACACGTTGCAGATCGGTCTGAATCGCGTCGATGCCCCGAGAGAGACCTGCAGACTTTTGCTTCCGTGCTAACTCTTTGATTTCCGCCTCAAGCTCCTGCGCTCTGCTATAGTAGGCAACAATGGTCTGTACCTCCTTTGACAACGACTCAACTTCTTGCTTCGCAGCCTCCAGATCGTAGATGACAGCATCCTGGTCTTCGAGCTGTTTGTTGAGAGTGTCGCGCTCAGCAGTCAGCTTGGTGAGGTTGGCCTGGAGTGCGGGAAGTTCGGTGTCGCGCAGGCGAGTCGCTAGTTCATAGCTAGGTTTGGCCTTGCGAGCAGTCTCAAGCTTGGCCATGATTTCATCAACATTGTCTTCCTCCACATCCTCCTTCGCCTTTGCAATAATTTTCTTGAGTCCGCTGACAAAGCCCGCAGTTGTAAAGTCCTCATCGTGGTCATCGTGAAGAGTCCTCTTACAGAGACGGCACATGTTGTGTTTTTCGGCGTATTGCAGGCATTTGCTCATGTATTCCATCTGTGCTTCGAACTTGGCTTTGTCTGTAGATTTTAGCTCGTAGTCATACTCCAGGTCTTGCAGAGTCTCGTCAAAATCGGAGATGTCGTCCTTCTGTATGGATTCTTTCACGGTCTTTTCGTAC